ATTCCTCGGGGCCCGGTTGGACTCGATGCCAGCATGGGTCAGGAGGATACGGAGCAACCCTGCTGCTAGGCGTTGCTCCAATAACGACAATCTTAAACTAGAACTTACCGATCCAAACAGGGTTAGATCGCCGAAGATCGCGATCTTCAGCAACACTTGAGTGAACGGCAACAATATTTTCATTACTTCGAGTCATTAGTTGTCTTATTGGCACTTGAATATTATGGTAAGAAAATGTACGCTGGAAATTTTCAACAATTCGACGAATAGCGAGCACAGATGGGCGATTATTACGACCATAAAATGGCAAAAGCGCACGAAAAGTTGCAATTGGAGAACGATTATTTTGATAATAAAATTGAATAATTTATAAACGTTGTTCTTGCGTATATCTTTCCATGATGAAATTGTAAGCATTACTGAATACAATGAAAAAAATTACAGATCATGACATATTAAAAAAGGCCGAAACGACAGTAAGAAATCATATCATCCCTATTGGAAAACCCGATAGTTTGTCATTTTGCAACCCTTTTGTTATTGTGTGCATTAATAGAATTGAACAATAAGTATGGAAAATGGAATTTTATGATATATTTTTTTTTTGCCTTAGCCTTCTATTCGTTCACTCTTATACAGTTCATGCGATATCCTTTGAATAGGCGTAGATATTAATCGATTTTATTGAGCTACACCAGAATCAATTATATATTCGTTAAATATATGTATAATAAATGTGTGAAAACTTTTTCTTAAATTCGCAAAAGCGGAAGAAATAAAAATAATATTTCATAGTTGTTGTTGTTGTAGCGGCAGATTTCTACCGAGTTGACAGTCCTTGGCCGGATAAAATCCGGGTCCGTTCCGGTTACGTAGACCCGACTGTTGTGGGAACGGAATATTTCATAGTAATTATAGAGGGTAAATTTTAAAATAGCACCGATTTCGGGTTTAAAATGGGTATGTACGGATAGAAGAGGTTCTCGAGATTCAGAAAATATATACAGTGGCGAGCAAAACCGTTCGGATGTTCGCCACTTCTGCACTTTCAGTGCTCTAACATTTTAACTGTTAGCTCAAACGTTACCAAATTTGAAGTGTTAGTTCTTTGTTTAATGTACAACAAAATTCTAGTACCAATATCATTTCAATAACTAAAGTGAAAGGATAGCCCTACCAAATCTAAAAAAACTCATTCAGTACAGTTTGCTCGTTTTACTAAATATGAAATTAATATGCTTTGAATTTGATTTGATGCCGTAGAACATAACTGTAAATGAACAGTTACTTGGGCCGAATTCATATTTTTGATCGAGCAACTACTGAGCGTGGGTTAACTTTTAGTTTTAGTTGATTATCAGTTGCATAAGCATCCGTTATTGGGCTATCAGTGTTTTCATACAAAATGAGAAAAGTTTTATCCGACGTTGAAGCAAAGGTTGTTTCTTTGACAAAAAGTGTCCTTTGGATACGTAAAATTGCTAGTCACTTAAAATTAGCTTTGAGCAGTGTTGTGGCAATAAGAAAACGATGCAAAGTAGTGAGGACGCCCACGATTGTTAAAAAACGCTGATGCTATCGCCATAAATAAGACTGTCAGCGAATGGTGGGTGCTTCACTTGGTGGAACATTGGTCCGTTAGTCAAAATCGCTAGATTTATGAAGAAAGAAGACTATTTGAATATTTTACAGTCAAATTTATCGGATTTTATAGCCAAGTGTGCTTATTCAGAGGAAGAGATCGTTACGATCCCAAACACATCGCCAAAATTGTTACTCACTGGCTCCAATGTCAACGATTTCAACTCATCCAATTCCAATAGAAAATTTAGTTGAAAGTATGCCGAGACGTATTAAAAATATATATTAAACTCAAAGGTCTTTGGACTAAATATTAAATAATGTAATTTTAGGTCATTTACTTTTTAAGAGCAAATCTGTACTTAATGAGTTTATTTCAGCTTTTGTTATATTTCTCTTTTGTTTTTGTGAATGAAAATTCATTTCAAATATTATTTTATTGTACAATAAATACATAAACCTATCCTGAAAATTTGATAATATTTGAGCTGTCGTTTGTACAAATTGTACAACACTTAGAATTCGAAAGTGGCGCACATCCGAACGGTTTTGCTCGCCACAGTACATTACAACATACATACATATATTGCCGCTGGCTTATAGTTTTTGAGATATTTTAATTTTTCTTTGTTTTATAATAGATATTACGGTAAATATGTACTTAATGACCCCCACTTCGTAGGGGGTTGGGGTTGTAAGGGGTGACACAATTAAGTGTCCATTTTATGAATTCGAAGGAATTACCCGTCGGTCTTAAAAAAAAATTATGGAGGGTGGAAATACAAATATTTTTTTATTAATTAAATGGCTGATCTTTTGTGCCGCGTTTTTTTGGAATGAATGAATATTGGAGATCGTCGAACTCCTTTCGGCACTGGCGGCCTTCGGCCGCGCTTCAATAAAATAACCCTGGTCGGTCCAAAACCGGGGTGTTCATAATTCAATTGACGCGATTGAATTATATTATTATATGGCCGAAGGCCGCCAGTGCAGAAAGGAGTTTGACGCGATTGAATTATGAACACCCCATTTTTTGACCGACCAGGGTTGAATTTGGGAATATGCTGTTTTCACGAAATTTTAACCCTTCATATAATTTTTTTGAAGGGTGGCCGACGGCTAAATCCACTGAAATTGTATTTCACAGACTCCCTTCACATACCATCTGCAACCCCAACCCCCTCCCAAGTGGGGGTCATTAAGTACATAATTACCGATTTTACATTTATATTTTTAACATTTATAATCACCAACACTTCACTAATTCGTTTTTACACATTTATTTTATATTAGTGCAAAATAATTATAATTCAATATTTAATATATGTTCAATTCTTTTTATTCATACAATAACAAAAGTGTTGCGCTCTATCTAACAAATAATCAGTGCTACCTTATCTATGTACATATTTTGCAAAGGAAGCAAAAGAAATAAAAAAAAGAGAATACCTTAGTAGCATAAAATAAATTACACATAATTACTTTTCGCATAAAATTTATTTTTGCTTTGTCGATCTCCGGTCGCGCTTCAAAAAAATAACCCTGGTCGGTCCAACACCGGTGTGTCCTCAGTTCCTTCGCGGAGAAATTATTTTGATATACATTAAATATGTAGAAACAATGTAGTGAAGTGTTAGTGAATAATAAGTGCATAATATAAAAAAAAATTAACTATAAATCGAAAAATGCAAGATGAAATTTGTCAAGTTTCCAACTTGAAATGAGAATATCTCGATAACTATAAGTAGTTTCCGGCGGCTGTAATTATATGCACTAGCCAGAAAAAGTCTGCGTACACGCTAATATCTATTTTCTTTTGTTAATAAAGAACTTTTATATACTAAATTTTAGAGCATAATCGTATTAAGCGCTTTTTTACTAGTCTATGTATTGCATAACCCCAAAGCATTTAAAGCAATGAAAATTTGACACAATAGTTTTATAAACAAAATTTACAAAAAATATTAATTTGGCAGCGTAGAAAGTCTGCCTATAAGTAGTAAAATCGGATTAAAAGTAACAATTTTAAAAGATTTTTGTTCAATTCAGTTTGTTATTAAATTTAAAGTATCTAATCTTGCCTAAAAAAAAGAAATAAAACCCTCTGAAAGGGAAATAATGGTTAAACTTTTTGAAGAAGGAAAAACATACCCTGAAATCGGTTGAATTGTTGGGTGAACACATTCTTTCATACACGGAGAAATAAAACAATTAAAAACATACCGGCGTTTTTGTATCTTGGCGCGTCTAGGACGACCAAAAATACTATAACAGGGTGAAATTCGTAACGTTTTGCAAAGTGTGAAACAACACCTTCGATTTACTGCATCCAAAATCAATCCAAATGTTAAGAAATATTTTAATAAATCCCTTTGCACTGACACTATTCGCAAATTAAAAAAAAAAAAACAGGGTTTTATGGTCTAGTCGCACACAAGAACTCATTCATATCGCTACTCAATAGGTAAGTGCATAATGCTGTCGCGAAAGATCACGTAAATAAGCCCCGGGAGTTTTAGCAGTCATTTTTCCTATGAGAGCATGTTTTGCGTCTTTGGAATCAAGGGGCGTAAGATTTTAGGGCGAAAAACGGGCACGGCACTTGATAAGGAAATCTTAATGCATACTGTGAAGAACGGTGGTGAAGAAGCAATGATATGGGGGTGGCTAGTATTTATGTGGGCCAAATGGAATTTATAGAATCCGCTGGTTAAAGATGCATACCTTAATATCTTATAAATAAAGAAGCAAAGAGCGGAAGAATTGGGTCTTAGAAGTGACTGCTATTTTCTACAGAATAAAGACTTGAAGCATACAGCAGACATAATTAAGCTTTAATTACTCTAGAACGTTCCTAAGCAGCTTCAACCACCTGCAGAATAACCAAGACTATATTATCCGACTATGGATAGAGAGGTGAATATGGGTCATCACAAATTATCGAACATTTACAAATAGCGTTCACTTGTCCGTATTCAACTGAAAATTTTATTTTTAATTTTTTTAACTTTTCCTTTGTTCTACCATTTTAAATAATTTGTATTGCCAGTTTCACATAACTGATTTGCATTGGTCAATAGCAATTAAAGTCCAATGCACAATGCACAATGTACATACCATATTATTGAAAGACAATATATAAATATATTAGACAATATATAAATATATTAGACAATATATAAATATATTAGACAATATATAAATATATAAGACAATATATAATTTACTACGAAGCATACATTTTTTGCCACAAGTTATTATATTTATACGTGTACTAGCACATTATTTGACGAGTATTTCACATGACAATTAAAATCAGAAAAAACGAAATATTCGCCCAAATTAATTTGCCTCATTCCAAAAAAGGAGACTGATATATTTAATACTACTTAAATAATTTTTACTTGAACTTTACTCACAATTTTTCCCAACTGTCTTTAATTTCTTACTTCCAGTAATTTGCCTAAGACTGATTAAAATTCTACCTGTAATAAAAAAAAATTAACTCATCTTCTATTACCATCTCTTTCTAATGGAAATCAACATATTCACTCACTCTACCAAATTTCACTAGTTCACGCTTAAAGATGACGTTGGACAGTGTAGGCAATTTATACTGCGTGCACATGGGGACTCTTTTGTCGCTGTCATTCCTTTTTACAAAATTTTCTCAAATGGTTGTGCGGTTCGGTTACGCGACACTTGTTTTGTATGTTGGTATGGTGGTTTAACAATTGAATACAAGGAATTACTATGAACCCGTATAATTATTATAAAACATTCACGAATTAATTATAACTCTTGTTTTAAATAATATGTTATATGATATTATAAGTTATTTGAGGTTAAAATAAATACATATGAAAGATATTATGTATATATAAAATAGTAAAAGTAGCTCGATTTTTACTAGAATTCATTTATATATGTATGTATTATCACATTTAATACTGCTAAATGTTGTTAAAAGTTTAATTAAATAGTTTTGAGTATCCTAATTAAATAGATATCGAAATTTAAATATCCGAACATATCGTATAAATGCGTTTGAAACCGAGCGCTGTTGCAACTATGAAAAGAATTTCAAAATGAAAGGGGATTCTAAACTGCGTAGCAGCAAACTGTTACGAACAAGAAAACAAAGCGTGCCACTTGAGCACGAGCGTTCGTCTATGTTGTTGTTGTTGCAGCGGTAGAATTTTCGTCAATCCTCGTCGTCCCTTCAATAAATTACAATATAACGGGCAATAAAAGAGTCCGTGTGTGAACTGGGGCTTAGTGGAACTAAATTTTGTAAATAATGCTACCAGACTTCGTATAAGTTAACTAAAATCTCAATGGCATTCGGATTTTGGAGGATGTTCTATAATAGTTAGTGTCGCTCACCTGACAATTTAATGAACTGTCAGAATTTAGTTTTACCTTACACACAAAATGATTAAAAATGCAAAATGTATTATTAGTAACATATTCATAAATAGTGTGTGTAACCATGGTATAAGGGAGAACATTCTCACCTCCCAGGCATACATTCACAATAAAACCAGCATGGTCGCCTCTAATGAGCTAGGGTGGCAAGGTGTTAAAACGGGTTGCACAAAACAAAAAACGCTGTAATAATTATTTATAAATATTTTAAATTTTTGTTATAGAATGATGCTTAATAGTGTTAACAAAATATGATATTATACCATCTTGATATTGGTAAATATACGGTAAATTTTTACGAGTTTTAATTAACTTATTCATGAGCAAACTAGAAATTTAATTTTACTATGAGTGGAACGGAAAAATTAACTCTTTTAACAGAATTTGGTATTAATATTCATAATAATTCTCTTGAAAAAAAAATTTATCATTGTTAGATATATCAAGAGATAATTGTGGATCCAATTTTTCCTATAACTAATGTATACATTTATTTAAAATATATTGTAACGGATTTCTCGATAAATCGTCTACCTTGTAACTCACTCTTGAGTTCGATCACTGGATTGTTAAATTAAAGTCCCAATTTAATGCTATACACTTACCTTTATTTCTAATTCCAACAAATTAACACTTATTGCTCGCTATTCGAGTTTACAACTTATTGCTTATACTATGTTCGCACCGAATTGAAATTCTTTTGAATACACAATTTGTGGATTGTGGAACCAAAGTCGGTCTGATCGACATTGTGTGTTTTCGATGAGTTTTCATTGACAGTTCACACATCTATTTGTTTACATTTCTTATGTACCCTACAAGAACAGTGACGGCCATCTGATAGGTAATATGACAGTCATAGCTGAAAAAATTTTGTCAGTGCGGAGAACAAAGTTTCTATCATTTTCTTAAGATCCTTGTTTTCTTTTTGTTTGTTTGTTTTGTTTTTTCTGAGTCATTGCTGAACATAAATCCATCATAGCTAAAAATTGTCAGTTATGCCTGAAACGCTATCAGAAGTGAAAAATTATTTTGCCCAGTAGATACTATAATGTTTATTTCTTTAATAAGTTTCAAACTTTTAATCAAAATTAGTTATAATAATATACTTAAATATAAAAAGGAATGCAAAAAAAAATTTAATAAAATACGAATATATAAAAATAAATTTTCACTTGATGCCATCTCCTCCTCTCAATAGCTCTGCGTACGTCTTTCTCCAATCAGCGGAGGGTTCTGAATTTAAAAATACAAATGTAAATTAACAGTACTGACATATCAAATGTGAGTGCATTGGTGAACCCATCAGCAGTTCCTTGTAGGGTACGTTTAGGCCAATTATGGAATGTAAACAAATTGTCAACTGACATTTAGGGCTGGCAAAATATGTCTTCCAATAATATCGATTAAACTAGAGCAGGCACCGATTATAATGAGTAGAATGAAATTTTTCAAGGGGTTTTCAGCGAAAACTGTGTTTTCGTTTGACAGATTTTGTATGGATGAAAACACAAGTTTTCGCGTGAAAACCTCTTTTGTCTATGAAAAGACGAATTTTGTGTCGGTGCGAACATAGTATTATAGCTTAATTGCTCTTTACACGACAACACTCGAATTAGAACTGCGTCTGCTGCACAATCCGGCAGCCCTTATATAATAAAATTTTAACAAAAGTTCGCTACCAGAATCATCGTAAAGGCGGAGTAGAGAAAGAATCATCTGATAGATGTAAACAAAGCTACAGCTGAGAGGGGTCTATGGAGAAACGTCAAGTCCGCCTAGGGGTTGTGTTTCTACTGACAGTCAAGATGGCCGACTTTTAACCGGAAAATGGTTGCATCTTGCTATTTATATATATTGTAACGGATTTCTCGATAAATCGTCTACCTGTAACTCACTCTTGAGTTCGATCACTGGATTGTTAAATAAAAGTCCCAATTTAATGGCTACACACTTATCTTTATTTCTAATTCCAACAACTTAACACTTATTGCTCGTTATTCGAGCTTACAACTTCTTGCTTATAGCTTAATTGTTCTTATCACGACACCACTCTAACTAGAACTGTCTTTGCTGCACAATCCGGCAGCCCTTATATAGTAAATCTGTAACAAAACATTACTTCTAGAACATTCTGGCAACTACGAATTAGACATATTTGCGATACCAAACACAAAGCTTTTATGTCCCCCATCTCGTCTTCTAGGCTGGTGCTGACATCGTTAGCCGTCCTTCTCTTCTTGGAGTTAATTCCATCCGTTTTCCGGATACTCAGTTTCTGGTACATCCCTTGACTTAAAGCTGACTCGAGATTCCATTCTTGATCAGAACGTAACTCCATTGGAACACCGAATCTCGTTACCCACTTGTTGATGAATGCCTCCGCCACTGGTTCAGTCTCTTGGTTAGGAATTGTGTATACTTGTGGCCATTCATTGAAATGGTCCTTGACTACCAGAACATGACTATTTCCTAATTTATTGGTGGGAAATGGACCATCTTCATACACGCCTATTTTCTCAAATGGCGCACGCGAATTATGCTGTTTCATCTGCCCATGACTCCTTGACCTTGATCCTTTAGCTACAATGTTCTCAGCATATTTCGCAATCCTTTCTATAGCTGACTGACAACCAGTCTAATAAAACCTTTGCTTCAAATGCTCCAAGGATTTCATGTCTCTCAAGTGCCCTCCTCTTGGACATTTGTACTGTACGTTAAGAACATCAGGAATTCCAACCCTTAGAACAACCATAAGTACTCGGAAGGTTTGCCCATTTTCGCTTTTCCATACTCGATGCAAGCAGCCATACACTAACTTTAAACTGCTCCGTTCTGCCCAATATGATTTTGTGACTGGCCTTCCTGTAGTTATTTCTCCAATCGTTGTACATTGGTTCAACTCCACCTTATGTAATGCACCTTCCAATTCTGGATCTTCTTGCACAGAGTCATCCGTTTCAGGTTCAATTTTAAGCTGATCTTCCACCTGTGATGGTATACACGCTTCCTGCTCTTCCAACTGTAAGGACACTTGTGCTGGTATCCAAGCTTTTTGCTCTTCTAACTGTGAGGAACCTTTTATTAGTTCACACGCTTCCTCCTCTTCCAACTGTGGGAACACCTGCCCTGACATACGCAGTTCCAGCTCTTTCGACTGTGAGGACCCTTGTACTGGTACACACGCTTCCTCCTCTTCCGACTGTGAGGACACCTGCGCTGGCATACGCCCGTTCAGTTCTTCCGACTGCGAAGACACTTTTGCTGGTATACAAGTTTCTTGCTCTTCATACTGTGAAGATCCTGGTTCACATGCTTCCTCCTCTTCCAACTGTGAGGATACCTGCGCTGACATATGCACGTCGAGCTCTTTCGGTGCTGACAACTGTACTGAAAAACGTGCATGTTGCTCTTCCAAATGCGTTGACAATCGCGTTTCTTGCTCTTTAAATTGTGTCGACATTTGCGTTGATATTTGAGACATACGTGTATCCTGCTCTTTAATTTGTGCCGATATTTGCGTTGACATTTGCGATATTGCGGCAAAAACCATGTTTATGTCCACAATCTTTGACGAGCAGTGAGCCTCTTCCTTTTCTTCTATTATTGTTGTCTCTTCCTCTAATTCCATGTGAAAGACATATTCCTCAACATTAATGTTTTCCGCCTCCATGGCCTCTCTCAACCGTGATTGTAATTCAGTTTTTAATCCATTAGTCGCCAAACCACGTTGCTCCAGCTCCTTTTTCAGTTGTGGAATCTTCAGATCGTTAAACTTGGCCATTTTCAAATAATTATCTCCTTGGGAATTTATTTGACAATCCCACTTCTGACACCAATTGTAACGGATTTCTCCAGAAATCGTCTACCTGTAACTCCCTCTTGAGTTCGATCACTGGATTGTTAAATAAAAGTCCCAATTGAATGGCTACACACTTATCTTTATTTCTAATTCCAACAACTTAACACTTATTGCTCGTTATTCGAGCTTACAACTTCTTGCTTATAGCTAAATTGTTCTTATCACGACAACACTCGAACTGTTTTTGCTGCACAGTCCGGCAGCCCTTATATAGTAAATCTGTAACAAAACATTGCTTTTAGAACAGTCTGGCAACTACGAATTCGCTAACTAGTTGCTTCTGGCATTTTATCGTTCATTCGATTTTGTTCTATCATCTATGTTCGTCACAATACATTTGCGTAACCCGTTTTAACCCCTCGCCACACTAACTCACCATGGCCACCATGTTGCTTTTATTGTGAACGTACGCCTTAGAGGTGGCGAAACTATTGTGAATAGAACTTTCGCTACTTCCTTATACCATGCCTATAACACCGGCTCGCAAGCATCTAAATAACTTTTGTTATACGTTGTATTACTTTTTGGTATTGGTACTGTAATTGACAATATGGTTGTTAGGCCTTATAACGAAGAATTGAAATACCTCGAGAAGATAAGCGATTGCTGTTGGCGGATAAAAAGAGAATTTCAGCCCAATATGAAAGTGGAGGGGTGTTTCTATGTAAACAGCCGGTTAGAACGGCTCATGCTAGAAGAGCTTAAAAACTCATGTAGACCGGGAGCAGTCGGAGGTTTTTTGCCAGGAGTAAAACAAATTGCTAATGTGGCTGCTTTGCCAGGCATTGTGGGACGATCTATAGGGCTCCCGGATATTCATTCTGGTTATGGGTAAATAACATTCAATTCATTAAGAGTTATTGAGCATTTGCAATATTATTTCAGGTTTGCTATTGGAAATATGGCCGCATTTGATATGCTCGATCCCACATCAATAGTAAGCACAAAAAATATAATTCATGATTATTTGAAATTATTACATATAATATACAGGTAAGCCCTGGAGGAGTTGGTTTTGATATCAATTGCGGTGTACGTTTACTGCGTACAAATCTCTTTGAAAAAGATGTTCAACCTGTTAAAGAGCAATTGGCGCAATCTCTTTTTGACCATATTCCAGTTGGAGTTGGTTCTAAAGGTATAATCCCAATGAATGCTCATGACATGGAAGAAGCTCTTGAAATGGGCATGGATTGGTCTCTTCGTGAAGGATATGTGTGGGCTGAAGACAAAGAGCACTGTGAAGAATATGGTCGTATGTTAAATGCGGATCCATCAAAAGTAAGTTTGCGTGCAAAAAAGCGTGGTCTTCCACAATTGGGAACATTAGGAGCAGGTAATCACTATGCAGAAATTCAAATTGTTGATGAAATTTATGACAAATGGAGTGCTAGTAAAATGGGAATTGAAGAAAAAGGTCAAGTATGCGTTATGATACATTCTGGCAGTCGGGGATTTGGACATCAAGTTGCTACTGATGCTTTGGTTCAAATGGAGAAAGCCATGAAGAGAGATCAAATTGAAACAAATGACCGGCAATTAGCATGTGCTCGCATAAATTCACAAGAAGGTCAGGATTATTTAAAAGCCATGGCAGCTGCCGCAAATTTCGCTTGGGTTAATCGAAGCTCGATGACTTTTCTTACGCGGCAGTCTTTTGCCAAAATGTTCAACACAACTCCTGATGATCTTGATATGCACGTGATTTATGATGTGTCCCATAATATTGCAAAAGTAGAAAACCACATCGTCGACGGCAAGGAAAAACAGTTGCTGGTGCATAGAAAGGTTAGCTTTGATATTAACTTATATTTTATATGCATAATATGGAACATTACCTAACAGGGATCAACACGGGCTTTTCCACCACATCATCCTCTTATACCAGTGGATTATCAATTGACTGGCCAACCTGTTTTAGTAGGCGGTACAATGGGCACATGCAGTTACGTGTTAACTGGAACCGAGAAAGGGATGCATGAAACTTTTGGCTCTACATGTCATGGAGCAGTATGTATACATTATTTATAATATTTATTATGTTTTTTAAATATTATTTTAATGATATTCTAAAGGGACGCGCTTTATCCCGTGCTAAGTCACGACGGAACTTAGATTATAAAGACGTTCTTGAAAAATTGGACCAGATGGGTATTGCTATACGTGTGGCATCACCAAAACTTGTTATGGAAGAAGCGCCAGAATCTTACAAAGATGTTACTGATGTCGTTGATACATGTCATATGGCAGGAATTAGTAAAAAATGTATAAAATTACGTCCAATTGCTGTAATTAAAGGATGAATATTCGAAGTAAATTTTATCTAAATTGTCAACAAAACCTGTGCCTATTGTCCACTGTGGAAACTGCATATGTATTGTATACATATGTATATATGTATTGTATACATATGTATATATGTATTGTATACATATGTATATATGTATAGTATATTAGCAAATATTCGTAATTTATTGACTTTGATTCAACTTATTGGAAACTTTATCGCAATATCAGAGAATATTTATGAATAGAGAAAGCGCAAATCCTCAATCAAATCTTTTTGAGAACTAATTTCTTTCACGTGAGGTAACTTCGAAAAATAGAAATACAATGTGAGAAACGGGTAACAGGCTATAAATAGACACAATGAATGTTCTTAAATAAATAATCGATGCGCCTACCTATTTAGATTTGAGTTTTCAGTTTCAATGATATGACAATTTATAATTATTATAAATCCTTTTGAATTAAAAAGGAGGATTACTGGCTAAAACCCCAGAATTCGTAAAATAAACATTTAATAGGCAATTTTTCCAACTTATGTATGTGCGTTACGTAAGCAATATGCTTATTGAACAAGGATAATATAATAAAACTGGTTAAAACGATCGAGCTCCCTCATTAGGTATCTTAGGTTATAATCGTGAAGAAGTTAAGTTCAATCCGAATATGAGGATTTACGGGCAAATCCTGCAGCTTGTGAAACTTAAATAAAATTTATAAAATAAATAATTTTTTCATCTTATTAATTAGAATCTTTGCAGATTTCAATTCAGTTCATATTCGAGCTTACAACCTCTTGCTTATATCTTAATTGCTCTTAACACGACAATACTCTAACTAGAACTGTGTTTGCTGCAAAATCCGGCAGCCCTTATATAGTAAATCTTTAACAAAAGTTCGTACTAGAACATTCTGGCAACTAGAATTCGCTATCTAGTTTAGTCTAGTTCTAGGCAGTTTATCGTCATCTCGTCTTCTAGGCTGGTGTTAACTTCCTTAGCCGTCCTTCTCTTTTTGGAGTTTATTCCATCCGTTCTTCGGATACCCAGTTTCTGGTACATCCTTTGACTTAAACCTGACTCAAGATTCCATTCTTGATCAGAACATAACTCCATTGGAACACCGCATCTCGTTACGCACTTGTTGGTGAATGTGGCCATCACTGGTTCAGCCTCTTGATTAGAGATTGTGTATATTTCTCCCGAATTGTACTGTTTTATCTGGCCATGACTCCTGGACCTTGCTCCTCAGCTCCAATCACTCAGCATATTTGGCAATCCTCTGCATTGTCGATTGACAACAACCAGTCCAATAAAACTTTTGTTTTAATTTCTATAAGGTTTTCGTGATTCCTAAGTGCCGTTCTCTTGGACCTTTGTACTGCACGTTAAGAACTTCAGGAATTCTAACCTTTGGAAGAATCATAAGTACTCGGGAGCTTTGCCCATTTTCGCTTTGCCATACTCGGTGCAAGCAGCCACACACCAACTTTAAACTGCTCCTGCTCTTTCTCCACTCGTTGTACGTTTGTTCCACTCTATTTCATGCATTGCATCTTGCAATTCTGGATCTTTTTGCAAAGAGTCATCCGTTTCAGCTTTAATTTTATCCTGTTCTTTCCACCTGTACTGGTATACACGCTTCCACCTCTTCCGACGGTGAGGACGCCTGTACTGGTATACACGTTTGCTGGTCCTCCAACTATAAGGACATTTGTGCTGGTATTTCTTTCTCTTCTGATTGTGAGGACCCTTGTACTGGTACTCACGTTTCCTACTCTTCTAACTGTGAGAACACCAGTGCTGATGTATGCACGTCCAGCTCTTTCGAATAACCTCTACTGAACATTGAGTCTCTTCCTTCTCTTGTATCTTTGTTGTCTCTTCCTCTAATTCTAAATGAAAGACATATTCCTCAACATTAATGTTTTTTACTTCTATGGCTCTTCGTAACCGCAACTGTAATTTGGACTTTACTCCCTTTGTTGCCAAGCCATGTTTTTCCAGCTCCTTTTTCGGTAGTGGAATCTTTAGATCGTTAAACTTTGCCATTTTTAAACAATTCTCTCTTTGGGAATTTATTTGACAATCTCAATTCTAACACCAATTGTAATCGATTTCTCCAGAAATCGTCTACCTATAACTCACTCTTGTGTTGGTTCACTTAATTGTTAAATAAAAGTCCCAATTAAATGGCTATACACTTCCAACATCCAACAACTTAACACTTTACTACTTTTTATCCGAGCTTACAAATTCTTGCTAATATCTCAATTGCTCTTAACACGACAACCAGGGGTAATGGGATGCCCAACTCTTTATAGCAAAATTACGTTCTTTTAATAAATATTAATGTTAAATATATGTTTTAATATTATTATACATGTATCCGTTAAACATATGCAAAAACTATATGAACCCTTTTTTATGATTTTGTAACAGATTAAATCAATTGATATTTTAGTTTTCATTACTTAATCAAAAGAATAAATGTATTAGCTCTCAATTAATAAATGTTTTTTATAATTTTCTATTGAAAATTAATACTACTAAGCATGGCATCAAATGCATTTCAATTTCGCGTTTTCTTTTATTTTCATTGTTATCCAATTTTTTTTAGTGATCTTCAACAGCAGCAACAAATCTCTCTGTTCACATATTTTTATGTAAGATTCCAATCTCTCCCTCTTTTTCCAATTGCTAAACGTCAGACCTCCTGAACTTTGACAGTTACCTAAGTTCAGGAGGTTTTGACGTTTAGCAATTGCGCTCTCATTTCCAGTGAAAGATGAGTTGGGCATCTCTTTTTCTCTGACGACAACACTATAACTAGAACTGTGTTAGCTGCAGAATCCGGTAGTCTTTATGTAGTAAATATTTAAGAAAAGTTTGCTACTAGAACATTTTGGAAGCTACGAATTCGCTGCCTAGTTGCTTCTGGCAATTTATCATCGGTTCAATTTTGTTCTATCATCCGTGTTCATCACAATATGGGTGCATTTGAGATGGCAATCACAACAGCAGTGTTGCAAATTTGTCAACATATCACGTTCTACTGTTGTGACCACAACAACAACTGTCACTTTTTGCGCGCAATTTATGCAAATAATCGGCAACACTAAATTTTTGTCTGCACATCAGCAGAATATCAGCAAATATGCAGCACAGTTGCTGTACTGCTGCAATTATTACGTAGTTTGAACGCACCCTATGTTTAGGTTTATTGCATATTCCCTTATTTATGCGTATTTACACAAATGTGATAATCACACATACATTCTTAAATACACGTACGCTGATGCTTGCTTCTTCTTGCCCCGCACAAGCAATGACTTTTGTACACACTTTTTGCTTTTTGCGAGTTGAACGATCGCAGGTAAGGAAGGATTGGGGCGCACTGCCACACAATTATTTCAGATATATATTTTATTTATCGAATTTAGTTTAAAAACGATTATAGGTATGAATAAATGTGTATTTATATTTTTACGTATATTATTATTATATTAAATAAAAATAATTTATGCATCAGTATTTTTCAATTCAAATTAAGCAACATAATAATATACTATGAGCCCTCAGTTGAAACGCCTTTGTGTATGGTGGCAAGCCAACGAAATAACGGCGAGTTCGCGCGGACATTGTGTTGTTGAAAAAAACCAAATAACGACTTTGCCGACAAACATACATCTTTACATACATACATACATACATATGAGATCGCATACATATTGACACCGAATTGTGCGAATTGTCGCGGAGTTGACAAAATTTGTTTCAATCGACAATTTTGCGACAATATCGATCGGCTATGTTGTCTCGTTTGTCCTTTTTGCAGGGCTTTGCTGTTGAAAATTGACTTATGCTCTTTTGAAATGGGCTAAATCGACAAACTATAAAATAATGATAATAAGTAAACATATAAAAGTACTATATGGACTGTGCTTAGAATATATAGAAGTAGTTAATGATTTCATATAAATGGCAATTTTATATAAATTTTATAATTTAATGCACAATATGTAGTGCATAATATGAAAAAAATTAAAATAATATTTCAAATCGCTAAGAGGTCACGTTGCCAATTCTCCTTTCTGAAGAGAACACCAGACAAATTCCTCAATTTCTGATTTTTAGCATCGTTGTGAGGAGACAGCTTGTGGGCAAAATACAAATGCGAGGGGAATAGTAGGATCAGTTGTAAAATTAAAACTTCTTCAAATTCAATTTCATTCATTTTTATTTTCGCGCATTTGCGGTAGAATTCTATATGAAAACCAAATGTGGTTTACCAGGCGCACAGAAAAAATAGCGCGGCGCAGAGTTATGAACGAACGCACTTTGCTTTGAAGCCGACGCACGTTCCTTATGAATGAATTTGTTGTCGTTGTAATATGAAGTACTTAGAAAATATGCCGCGAATTTGCTTGAATATTATTGGCCGATGATGGCGTTTACCTTTTTTGTCACTTGCGCGAATGTTTGATTTTTTGCGAAAGACATATTGAGGGACATATATATGTACATATGTGTACATATATGCAAATATACTTGGACATGCGAATGAAGGAAGGCAATTTCAAGAATATTCACATATAAGTAGATATATGAACATTTGAAGCAAGTAAACAGCAATAGCTGTTTGAGTTCACAGATTCCACAAAGTAGTTTATATATTGTCTGTGGTGCTGCTTGTATAGCACGCTTCCTTATTTGCAACGTGAAGTATTTTGCTTAAGTTCAAATCCTATCAGATATATTTATATACTTTTTTTATATTTTTATAACCCTTTTTTATTAAATGATATTTTAATTATATTTTCATATTATTTCCCTCATTATTTACATTTTCTTTTCATAAGTCAATTATTTCCCTTTTTATTACTTTAATTTTTGTTCATGTGCATACCAAAGAACATCTGTGCATATGTATGTGTATACATTTTGCTTATAGAGTGGTGTAGTTCGTTGCGTAAATTGATAGGATGGTGAAATTTTATTTTCGAACTTGCGCGTTTTCGATGTTCCCTCATCTTAATTAACATTTTAGTACTGCTAACATTTGCTCCTTCTCTATTCATTTACGTTCTCTGCTAGAACATTCTGGCAACTACGAATTCGCTGTCTAGTTACTTCTGGCAGTTTATCGTCAATTCCGATTTGTTCTGGTCATGGATAATATGATTCGATACTCTTTGATTTGAGAGAGCGCTGTCAAAGTCCAAATTTTTTATAACATTTGACAATTGTGCCATTAAGGGAAGAAATAAGTTTTGAGATTTTTAAATGTATTTCTTGGGTATTTTTCGGTTTCCATTTTACAGAAAAATATACATGATTAAAATTAGTTTAACAAGCTAGATATCCTATGTGACTTCTAAATATAAGTACATGTATATTTTAATCACAAAAGATTTCAAAACACACAAGTTTTAAATAACCTAAACATGATCCTAATTTCTCTTTTATATACTCAATAAACAACTATCTTTTGAGAATTCATTCGGAAGTCAAAGTTTACATAACATTTCTTGGGAGTTCTAAACAAAATATGTATATACGTTGACAATTGGTACTGCTAAGCAAAACAATACTCTGCGACAAAATACCGCTCTTTCTACGTAAAAATCACCAAAAAAAATTACCCACTGATTTAGCAATTTATTTCTGCGGGATTCTTAGTGGTAGTTCATTGTTTTGCTTGTCATCTGTTCAGTAGCTCATGAACTCCTGGTTTTCTTGGCAGCACTGAATGTTCATGAGCTCTTTTAGAAGGCAAAGAGAGGAGTTTCGGATCATTTTATCTATAGTTCTGGTACTCGTGTTCGCCACAATACGAATGTTAATTTATTTCACATTATGAAATCAATCCTTCTGTGGTTCTATTTACATACGTTCCTTCACGACTCTTAAGTAACCCTGTTTTTAAGTATTTCGAAAGTGGGTTTAAAGCGAAGTGTCAGTATTTTTTTCAATAGCATAAATTTCTTGCGTGATAAGGAATGAAAAAAATAAAACTTTTATAAATCTTAGTGAATTAGTGAATTAAATGATGAACTCTAATTTCTGTTAAATTTGGTACAATAAAAGTAGTTGTTATAAAAAATTCACTAGTTATATAGGTAGATATGCAAGGAAGAGGAGGAATTGCTGAAATCCCAAGTACCGTTCATTTCTTTAAGGTGAGAAATTTATTAAGGATATTAGTACGATATAAAAACGTCTAATTTCTTAGAGAAATTCTGCACAATCCAAAAGTTCCCACGAGTTACAACCAGAAACCCATTATAGTTCAAAAGAATTACAACAATGTGCGCCTTTATTTCGGGAGCGGAAAACCCAGGATAGTATAAACATTTGTGTAATAAGTGGTGATGGCGACATAAAGCATATTCAAATAAGTGATACAGAAAGTGAATTTGCTGGATTTGGCTCCCTTACCAATTCAAGTGATAGCAGCTTAGATAGGCAAAGAGAATTCAAAAAAAGTTTCCCAAAAATTTCGGTGAAAAAAAAAACAATTGAGTCAGGGCGTTTGAATATGAAGGAAAAGATCATTCAGCAAAAAGAACATTCGTCCCTGAAATCCATTTATCATTCTGAATCAATGGAACTAGAGATTGGACTAAATCCCGCGCCTGATAAACATAAAAATATAATAAATGGGAAAGAAGTGGGTAAGTAAGCCTTTCATAGTTAATATCAAAAATTAATTATTGAAGTTTAATAATTGCAGGAAGAATAGTGTTTGATTAGGTCAATACAGGTTTACTGAAAGTAAAGTTTTTTTTGCATTATCCTATGCGTGCAATATAACAAAAACAAAAATTAATCCAATATCTATATACTTTTTATGCCCTGAACAGGGTACATTAAGTTTGCTACGAAGTTTGTAATACTAAGAAGGTAACATCAGAAATCCTATGACATATACATATATATAAGAGATCAGCGGGATAAGCTAAGTCGATTTAGCCATGTCCGTCTGCATATAAGCGAGCTAGTTCTCACTTTATAAGATATCGCTCTAACATTTTGCAGACGTCAGCATATTGCTACCATACAAACTGAACGATCAAAATCAAGTCCTTGTGTGGAAAACTTTTTTATTTGAAGATATATTTTCACGATGTTTGCACAGAATATTGCGTAAAACCTCCAAATAATAGATAGGACCACTATAGCATATAGCTGCCATACAAACTGATCAAAATCAAGTTCTTGTATGGAAAACTGTTTTATTTGACAAGATATCTTCACGTACTGTGGTATGGATTATTTTCCAAGCCAACGATACAATCTCTGAATAAATTGTTCAGATCAGATAGCTATAGCCGATAGCTGCCATATAAACTGGCTTTTGTAAGGAAATTTTTTTATTTGTAAGGATATTCTAGCATCGTTGCAACTGATGTTAACGTGTTTTGCTTGGTTAGAAAATTGGTAATTCCAACATATTACAAATATATAATATATATATATATATATATATATATATAACAATATTAATATGTACTAATATTAAGTGAAAAATTTAGTATAAAACAATCAAATCAATGTAAATGTAGTGATAATATAAATTTGGTTTCAATATCAGTTAAAATTTTATGATTACTACTTAATTCAGTAAATATTATTTATTTTGCTCATATTGAAATAGTTTTAAATCCATATTTTTTGTTCACAACTTGACAAAAGGGGCCCTTGTGAGATTTCTAACCAGAGCTGAGCAGCAGGTTATTTTAAAAGATTAAACTCCTACTTATCCACACTTGACTTCAACTTACTTACAATCTCTTTTGCATGCTTACTGATACCAAATCATCTAATACCTCGTCCGACTCCGACGGAACAGCAATTTCATGAGCCTTGCAATATATGACTTAGATAACAATACATAGCTCATTCACCACTAAATTACGATATTCTTTACAACAACAACACATTTTTGGAATTACGTTTAGACAATTCACAAGCTTCGTTTTATGTCTTATGTCGTATTTCAATAGTCTTAAAAAATACGACATTAGTGAGCATCCCTTAATTGTTGTATGTCATATACAATATTTCTATACTTCACCAGCTGGGAGTGAAAAATTAAGAATACAAAAATGTCATGAGAAAGTGACAAAAAATAAAAGTAAAGCTTCTTTATGTGAAAACTTACTTAATGCTGAAATGGCGGCGATTTGCAATAAAATCATTTCCAACCATAGAAACAACAAAATATTTTTATATTTTATAGTTGTCGTATTTCAATTTTGTATGGGAAACAACAACAGCATTGATATGTCAGTCATAAAAAAATTAGACAATATGACGATATGACACATTGTGAATACCTTAATTGTTATATATATTACTATACCTTTCGTCCCTGTTTTCTTCCAAAACTTTTAATATTAAAATTTACCCATTCCATATGGCAAGTACTATTAAAGTTTTGTTAAACCAATGTCACTATTCTTTAATTTTATTTCAGTATTAGCGAATTAGGTCGGTCCTCCTTTAATATGATTTAAAAAATTGTAAAAGAGAAGGACAAAACATATTAAAAATTTGGTTATGAAAGCATTAAACAAGTTTTGCTTTTGCCAGAGAAATTATGCAAATACCGACATGAAAAATCAAACATATACTGGAATACGAAGCGTGGTTTTCGATACACGCGAAAGGTGACGGAAGTTAGTTGACTCCATGCAATGCAGATGCCTTGCAGTTGTTGTTATTGTAACGGTATATTTAGTCCCCGCTCGGGTGGTAAGTTTTAGTTCTTTTGTCGTCGAGATCATGGGATCTAACGGGAGGCCCAGGAAACGAGCTGCTGCGACGGTGTCGAGCCAAGGGAAAATGGGTGTTAGATGAGTGGAGTTCTTTGGGCATACAAAGAGGTAATTAGTGCCATGCGGAGACTCATTGCATGCAGGACATATATTGGGTATGACTCCAAGTACGCCATTCACCGAGAGAGAGTCGGTGAAGGTGTTGATAGCTTCACTATGTATGGCGGTCAGTGCATGCAGAGGAAGGACCTCTTGATGTTCCTAGGAGGCGGTTCCGCTTCAATCAGACGACTGCAGGGGTGGTTCCTACGGAAACAATGCAGCAGAAAGTGCTTGGAGAGGAGCTTGTGATGTTCCTTGGCCGGAAGTATACGGGCCTCATTATGTAGGTGTTCGTTTGGGGACATCAAGAGGCATCCCGTGATAGTTGGGAGTTCGTCTGCGTTGCACTACATTCAGGCATGCGTGCATTTATAACCGAATATCGCTCCTTCAACTCTAAGCTTAGCTCCACTGAAGTTAAAAATCGGTTCCGCAGGTTTAAGTTCTTTAAATTTCAGTCCATCCATTAATAATAATAAACCCAACGATTACCCTCCTCCCGCCCAACCGACGCGAGGGGCGCAATCCGCATACGTGCGGAATTAGCCGTGTCAGAAAAGGCAAGAGAGTTTTTTAAGTGTTGAGATCTAAAACTGCTCAGCTACAGAAACAAAAATTTCAACAGCTAAGATCTAAAGTTACAATATAATAAATTGTTACATTTTCATTTATTAAGAGAAAACAATAAAGTCTTTTTAATTTTGAAAAGTGAGTCAGATAAGTCAAATGTGCTGGAATGAGAATTAAAATCATGACATATACGGCGGAATGGCTCGTTTAGTTCAAAATTTGATCTACAGGATTTTAGCAGTAAAGGTCTAAACTGCCTCGAAAGGCGAACCGGGATATTAAATTTAATTTCAGACAGGAGAAAAGTTCCATTCAAAAGTTTTACTAAGAATATTATGCCAAGCATTTCCCTACGACTAGAAAGTGTAGGTAGATTAATAAGTTTTTAACGACTTGTGTATGGAGGTAGACTTACCCTAGCATCCCATCGGAAATGCGCTAAGGCGAAAAGTAAAAATTGTTTTTGAACCGACTCTAACTTGTCAGAATGGATTTGGTAGCTAGGGTTCCATACCACAGAGCCATATTCCAATATAGGTCTAACCAAAGTTGTATAAAGTGTTTTAGTAATATACGGATCTCTAAATTCTTTAGACCAACGTTTAACAAAACTGAGGACAGCTTTTGCTTTCAAGACCATGGTATCAATATGAAGACTGAAATTAAGCTTAGGGTCCATATTAACTCCCAAATCAACAAAGTTTAAAACTTGCTCTAGAATATGGTGTTTTATTACGTAAGAAGAGGGGTGCACAGATCTACGGGAAAAGCACATCGTCTTACATTTATTGAGATTCAATGGCAAATCATTTCTATAACACCATGCAACCAAATTGTTTAAGTCTGTTTGCAACAGACACCTTTCCTCAGTTGAAGTGTATGATTTAAAAAGCTTTACATCGTCAGCGTATAATAAAATTTTTGAGAATTCTATTACTGAAGAGATATCGTTAATAAACAACAAGAACAGAATCGGGCCAAGATGACTACCTTGCGGAACACCAGAAGAAACATTAATTGTATCTGAAGGTGTATCCTCAAATATCACTCGTTGTGTTCTATTATAAAGATAGGAAGATACCCATTGAAGGAATCTTGGCTGAAAGCCCATCAGATCAAGTTTATGTATGAGAATCGAGATATTTACTTTATCGAAAGCTTTGCTAAAGTCTGTGTATATAACATCCGTATGCTTATGTTCCCTAAAACCCAATGATACATGGTTTACAAATTCAAGTAAGTTTGTTATAGTCGAGTTCCCTTTACGAAATCCATGCTGAGATGGGGAAATTAACGGAGAAATCGAAAAGGTTATATGGTCAGTGATGATAGCTTCAAAAAGTTTTGGTATAACTGATAGTTTTGCGATACCTCTATAGTTTTCAATGTTGGATCTAAATCCACTTTTATGCAAAGGGATTATAAATGACTGTTTCCATATTGAAGGAAATATACCGTGTTTAAGAGAGGAATTAAATATCCTTGTCAAAGGCAAGTAAATATATTTGGCACTATTTTTTAGGAAGCATGAGGGTATCATGTCTGGGCCATAACTAAAAGATGGTTTTAACTTATTTAAATTAAAAAGGACGTCTTCTTCAGAAATAACTGGGGCGTTAATTAAAGTATTCGAACACAGCACTTGCTGATAAGAAAAAGTTTTGGAAGAATTATTACAGTAGTTTGACTTGAAAAATTCTGCAAACATATTGGATATAATATCATTGTCACTTGAAATGATAGATTTGTATTTCATTGCGGACGGAAATTTGGAAATCCTGCGTTTGGAGTTGACGAAATCATAAAACGATTTTGGATTACTTACAATATTTTTTTTAACTTTATTTAAGTAATTATTATAACATTTTTTGTTTAGGTCAAAATATTGTCGACGCAATAGCGAATATTTAGAATAGTCGACAAGTGAACCGGTTTTTTTAAAATGTTTAAAGGCTCGAGTTTTTCTGTTTTTCAATTTATATAACTCTTTCGAAAACCACGGACTTATAGTTTTGTTTTTGTTAACAATTACTATTGGAACATACTTTTCAAATAATTTCATAATAATATTATTAAAATGAGAGACACTCAATTCAATGTCACCATTATAATTAGGCCATGTTATTGTAGAAAGTTCTATATTTAATTTTTTTTAAATTAGCTTTTGCAAAGTTAAACCGAGTACAGAAGCACGAAGTTTGATGATTATTATCCCGTACAAT